GAGGTGGCTGCGCGGCCGCCTCTCCTGCGCGTTGCCGTGCGGGCACACTCCTGCTGCCAGCCACCCGCCGCTGCACCCCGCGGCCCGGGGTGTAAGTTATCAACGCGTCTGCTGTTGCTCTGACTTTTAACCTTTTGTAGTCCTGTGTGCCCGTCTCATTTCCATCTCTCTGGCAGCCTTTTCTTCCCGTTCACCATCCCGAGGCTTTCACATCTATCAAAATAACTCCTCCGGCATGAATCGTCCTGCCCCTGGCATTAACGTGTATCCCTCATGCTTCTTTGTAACTACTTACACACTCCATATATGATTTCATTATGGCTATTAATCACTCTTCTGCGTGAAATTACGTAGTTCCATACTAAATTCAAATGGTTCCATAACAATCAGGTTACTAATCAGTGGTCTGCTTTTGTTCCATTCACATATTCTTTACTCATGTATGCCTTCTCATACCTTGTCTTTCAGTGTGTGTTTTATTTCTTGTTGTACACTTAAGCTTCCAGTACAAACCTGTTTCTATACCCATCCATTGCCCCCAAATATATTGTCTGCCCTCCTTCATCCCACTATAGAATAATACAGTCATCCTGTCTTTGAGTCTGGTCACCAAACATACTCAATATGTCTGCTGATCACTTACCTACCACTTCGTTCCATCAGATTTTATGATTCTAGTCAAAAAAATACTCTGTCAGAAAATACCTAGCTGTGCTGTAGTCATGCATGTGCATTATCCCCTCTGTCACATGTGTAAGGGTGCTTTGTATGCATTGTTTACATGATTTTTTCCTGTTTGTCCAGCTTTTAAATATCACATGGTGTATCTCATTGCCTGTCCCTCAAAAGCTTGTTTTGTGCCTGTTCTTCTCCATCTCCCTTCTCTTATAATTAAGTCTTGTGCTATTTTGAGAAATTCCACTTAAAACTATCTACTTGCATGAAAATAATGCTGTCCATTCACGGCTTCATATCAAGGATGTTACTATTTTCATGTTGTCGTGTTATGTGTCTGTTCTGTTATCTTCCAAAACTACCTGCATTCTCAGTCTTATTCTCTTTTTAGTCCTTTTTCCAACTTCTGGCTTTGGTATTTCATCTTACATACTCGGCTGCTCTGCCAGCTCAATCTGACCAGAACTGGACTATCAATCTTTAGTTCTAAACTCCCTGTTACGCCTTTATCACCATATATACACAGCATTCTCTTTTCAAGTATAAACTTCAAAGGCTTCCATCCAAAGCACTATGCAGTTTCTTCTGCTCTGTAACTCTGTGCCCTCCTCCTTTCCTTAAACTTAAAATAGCTTTTTCAAATAATCTTTGTCCCCACCCCGCCTTCTGCAACATTACCCAAATGAAACTACAGTCCCCTTCTTGGTTCTGTGTTCTTTCTGACTGTTTCACATTCATAAAATACACGTCATTTGTAAAGGCTCTTTTTGATGGTTTACAGGTTTTCGAAGTAAGAGTCTTAAAATAGCTCTGCCTCAACCTGTTTTGTCGGTATGTTCATTCAGCGCATTATCCTGAACTGTATTAGCTGTCTGGTTTGATCACCCGGCGTGCCGAGTGCTGCTGGGACGGTGCCAAGCGCCCTCAACTTCAGTAGCCTGTCGGGATTGCAGGATCCGTAACACTAGATGGTCTGGACATAGGGTTAGGAATCGCAGGCTAAATTTTCAAAAGGATTATGACAAGTTCCTCGTTGTGGTTTACTCAGCTGGATAGCTTTTAAAGGGGGTGGATTTTCAGGACGTCAGTGTCCCCCCTCTGAACAGTCAGGCCATTTGATGTGAAATCTTTCAGAGTAAGCCCCCCCAATTCACTAAAGACTTCTAAGAACAAGATCTCATCCTTCTTTTCCATGAACTGAGAAAGTGCCTTAGCTTTGGTGAAATGTTTGTGTTGCTAACAGTTGTCAAAGTTAGCATTTCTTCATCTTTTCAAGTTGAGCAAAGCTCAGTTCTCAGGGGAAATTTTATAAACAAGTGAAATATGTTAAGTATTTTTGGATTTAAAACTCCGTGACAGTGAGAGGAAGAGTTACAATATACCGTCAAAACCCTGGATGAAGTTGTTAGTGACAGATGTATACAAAGAATGAATATGAAGTTTACTTTATCGCTGTGAAAGAAAATAGTGTGACTCAACTTGTTATGCAACACGCTCAGTTTGTTGAAAACTGGTAACTGCGTGAGCGTGGTGAAAATAATTGCAGCGGCTCGGTAACTTTCTAGAAGATCTCAGCTGAAAGACACTCATGACATTGTGCTAACTTTGAATGAGAAGATTAACTATACAAATGTTTTGGTCTTCATCATGGAAGAGACTGCTTGGTGAACGTGTCACCTGCTGACGATTTCCAAACCTCTTCACAGCCTTGGGCCTTCTCTGCATGAGTTTTAGATCTAGGCTTCTGCCTGGGAGGCAGACAGCCTAGCATAAGACTTTTGCCGGCATGAGGTGACAGTGAGGTGCCTGGACTTTCTTTCTTTGTGACTTTTCAGATAATTATTTCTCTGTAGTTCTGTATGGTTCCTGAGGGAGACTGCCTTAGGAAACATCGTCTAGAGGTTTGAATGCCACAGGCTGGACATGTCTAGTCTGAGAGGTTTTCTCCTCCACTCTTTGTGAAACTTGTGCTTATGTTAGACGATAGGAGGAGAGGGCACGCCGACATGCCTCAGCGAGCTGTGGAAGGTCTCCTCCTCTCTTGGAGTGGCAAGGCATCCTTTCAGCTGCTCCTTTCCAGTGGCCTGTGGAAGTGCTGGTTGCTGCCTTCAGTGAAGCAGCATTGAATTGCGTGGTTCCCACTGCCACCTCTGGGCATGCAGGTGATCCTGTGTGCTGTGTGTGCCTCACGCTTCGGGTATGTGGTAAATGGGCATGAATTTTATGGAAACTGTCACGAGAGAACAGACGCTTTCAGTGTCTGGCCTGAAGGTTTCCTCTGCCTCCTGTAGAAGACCACGCTCTCCTTCAGTGATTACCTGGCCAAGTCATCTGCTATGACAGAAATCCCCCATAAAAAAAAGCCCTGACTGGATTTATCAGCCATCCAGCTCAAGTCCTTAAAGAAAAATGAGAAGCAGAGGGAGGAAGGCAGTAATTACGTAGTAGCTTTTAATTTACATTTAGGATGTTACTTGACTGGGGGGGAAGCAGGTTGAAAAGACAGCAACAGAAAGTCTGCTACTAATTGTGTGGGTCAAGTGGAAACTTTCCAAGTTCCTTCCAAGCAAAGACTACTACAAGAATTGCCAAAGTAGCGTATAGGGTACCTGTGAGTGGAGGGGTTCGTAGCCCTGGTGGAAATTTAAGCGGAGTCAGAAATCCAGATGGGCGGCTAGCTATGGGGTTACTACTGGGGTTGCCAAAGTGTTGGTGACTATGGGTCATTGGAAAACACAAGTTTCAGCCAGTACTGCGTGCCTCTGGGTATATTCTAGATTTTTTTGAGCCTGCTAGAGGGGCTGGTAGGCCCAGTTAGAGACCTGCCCCTCCAAAAAGGACAGTCTCTGTGCCGAGAGGGTCTCCGAGGTCTCTGACTACTTTCCTGAACATCAATGGTAGAATCTGAAGAACTCCTCAACCGATAAATTATTTAAGCAGCTTTTCTTTTCCCTCTTATATAGTGGTTTGTTAAGATTGCTTGAAATTTAGGATATTTTGATTCTTGTGTTTCATAACTTTTGAGTATTTACTTACAACTCTGACATTCTTTCAGGATAGGTTTTTGTACATGGTTTGTACTGACAGCTAGAGAGAAGAGGGCATGGGAGGAAAGGTGAGCATCTGCATTTGGATTAGCTCTGAAACATCCAGATGAGAAGCTGAACAGCAGGAGAGAGGTCAGTGGAGAAGAGAAGTTTGTGAGTCAGTGAAGCTGTGTAAGGGAATGAGGTCAGTCTGGAATAAGGTTAAGAGGGTAAAAGAGGAGGATTTGAAGCGTAAAGCCTTGAGTGACACCAAGAAAACATGGTGAGGAATGGCAGAGGAGGAAGGTGCTCTGAATGAGTTGTAATAGAAAACTCGAGATCATAGGAGACTGCAGAAGGGAAGGGAAGATACAGATGTGAAAATGCATGCTGTTACCAAAGATACAAGAGTGCCCATTGCCATTGAGAAAGTCCACTCATATATTGAAGTAAGGAAAAGTATTGCAATGAGGAGAAAAAAAGCAAAGAAGTGGGTTAGTGCTAGCAAACTATTGTAGAATTTTTTTTTCTTGATTACATTTAGTAAGTGTTATACTGACTCTAAAGGCTTATTAGTGATATCGTACCTTTCCATAAGGGGACATTTGGTGCAATAGCTTTTTAGACCCGCTTATCTTCTTACCTGTTTTCAAGGCTACTTACACTTTCTTAACATCTAAAGCATTTGTAGTATAGGTATGTGCACACAACTGTTTGTTAGGGAAAGGGTTGTGCACTTCTTAGGTTTCCCAAGATGTGGAAATGAGGCTAGGTAGCTCAAAATGTTGAATACCAGTTCTTAAAATTGGACATAGGCAACTGTTAGTCACTGTAGGCGACCATGATAAAGGAACATAATGTAGAAGCTGTTCTAATGGTCTGCAGTGAAACAACCCATCTTCAGTGTGTCAGTGTGTGTTCACACTCAAATAGAGACAGGTATGATACGAGTAGGGTTTGTGTCTAGCACATCTGGAGCTGAGGGAAATAATCACGTGCTTTAGATAGTCTTTTATCTGCATTTGTATATGTCTCTATGGAAAAATAAAAATATCCATCTATTTAAGTTTTGATCCAAATTATGAATAATGCACTATGGAATATAAACAAAACATAAGCTGGGTAGGGTGTGGGTGGGCAATGGTGCAGATTTATGAGAGGTGCCTGTTACATGCGTATTTTTTTCTTATCCTGTTTGATGAACTGCGGAACAGTCTGAAATGCGGGGTATGAGAAGGCTGAGAAGTAAGGCTTAAGGAAGGTTGAGCTTATGCAATATGTGAAGGGCAGCAGGAGTACATCTGTAGGTGGATGAATAAAATGAAAGTAGTAGAAAATTATGTAACATCAGAAGGCTACCAAGAGGAGACTTAAATTTTCTTTATTTCAGTTATGCTTTTCTTCCCAAATTCTTAATGCAGTGTGCAATGCGTTGTTTGTAAAAACACCTAACAGTTATGGCAATGCCAAGTTCTATCACATGTGAGTTTACTGTGAAGGAGGCAGAGGGATGCAGGTCCTCAGTGGTACCTAACCTGGGTGTTACGCATGTGATCACAAGGTTGAGTACTTTTAGTGGGACTGTGCAGCCCTGCCTTTCCTCTCCTCTGCATCTTCATCTCTGCATTCTGTGTTCTTCCATATCTCACCTGTAGTTGCTAATATGATTTTTCTCTAGGTTGCGTTTGATTTTAGCTTGTAAATCAAAATATAAAATAATGGGTCCTTAGAAAAGGTGGAAAGAATTAATGGAGGGCTTGATTAGCTGGTTGCTATTAGTAGTTAGTGGACTGTAAAGTTTTTAAGGGGAAATGCTTGTATGTTAGGGAGTATGTTGCAAGTTACGGAGGAATGGTGTTTCTGAAAGCTTGTTAGCATTGATTAGTTCTCTGCTGTGTAGTACATTTATGGCCTGACTTCAAACCTGACTGTGGAGAAGACTGTGACGGTTAGGACAATAGAGCACTGCCCTTGTTTATGGATTTGGAGCCTATATAGCAGTAAACAATAATAGGAATAAGAAATAGCTGTATGACCATGTGCATGGTTTCCTCGTTACTACACACACATGCTTCATGGTTTCTTGCACTGGGTGATAACACAGCTGCTTGGTAAGCAGGATGATCATTGCAGGTTGCAGGCTTGGGTGGCAGTCCACGGGTAAACTTCATTCGTGTGGTACATACTGAAAAAGCACATGCCACTTAACACTGCCCCTTGAAATGGACACCTTTGGGGGTGGAAGAAATGACAAAAACATATTAAAAGGAGACAGATGGTTAAAAAAATATTAAAAACAATGCTGTGAGACAGAGAAGAAAATGGGATGGGGAGTGCAGTGATGCAAGGCATACAGCAAGGCATATCTGTGGCTGAAGTTCAGCATGGGAGGGAGCAAAACTGTAGGTCCACTCCACTGCCTGAATGCTCAGGTTGCTCACGTGAATTTAAATAACATGGTAAACTTCAGTATCACTAAAATAGCCAGAAAATGCTCATTGGTTATGGATTCACATTCATGATTTACATTCTCAGGTGAATTTTGATAAGTGATAGTCCTGTTTAGCACTGTTAATATAAATAGAGACAGTAATAAAATTTACTTCCGAATTTTTGCATTAATTCTGATGTTGAATGTTCTGAATACGGAGTTCAAGATGCAGTAAGTACATGAGGAATGCCTCATTTTTATCTCTGACCTAGTGTAGTAATATTCTGCAGTAACCCATCATGGGCTTTTTGTTGGAATGGGGCTGATGTGCATAATTCTTCCTAGAAATATTATGCAGAGGTTTTCAAAACATTCTGTCTTAATGTTATTGAAATATCCAAGAGTTTCACAACACCTAATTGCGTAGAATATCTTGGCTCAAAATTCATCTAAACAGAACTTTGTAGGCAGGGTTGTAAAGTCATCAGGGGAATAAAATTTGTTTCCTTTTTAACCCATTCACAGCAATTTCATACATATTTTTGTCACCTCATGAAAATGCTAAACAGACGTTTGTTAAAGGATTGAGGTTTTTTGTTCCCATACCATATTCCTGTTTCTTGCTTCTGGGCCTTGCCTCTTTAGTATGCTCCTCAAGGTCTTTCCCTGGGGATTACAACATTTTTGGTCTTTTCATGCAATGATTATGAGGTGGAACAGGGAATACTTTTCTTCTGCTGATGTTTGTCTGCAGCTGCCAGAGCCTAATTTTTGTCCTATCATCTCATCCAAATTGGTGTTGTGATTTGATAGCTACATCTGACTCCTACTGTACATGCAGAAGCTCTGCCCCTGGATATACAGCCTTTGCAATAGCAGTTGCTATACGTAGATTGCTTGAATGATTCTGACTGTATTTATTATTCTCGGAAAAATGAAGCGCTAAAGAACATGCTGCACTTCGGGGACAGTAATGAAGGACTACAAGGACTCTTAAAATTGGTTATGCTCTTAAAGTTCTCATGAAACCGTATCCTGAGCCTTGTTCCTGAGACATCCCTGCCCAGTTAAATCCAGACTGACTGAGGTCGTGATTGTATGTTACTGTCTGTCAGTGGCAGCTCTGACTTGCTTGCTGTCCTCCACCTTGCCTCGCTAGTCTTTTTACCTACCTTGTTAGCCCATAGGTCTGCTGGTGTTTGGCTTCTCTGTAGCTGGGTCTCCATAATTACCTGGTTTAAAACATAGGTTCTTTTAAAGCTGAATCATTTCACAAGTCTGATAGGGAGAGCAGCCACGAAATAGATGAATTGGCAAAATGGAGGGAATAGTAACTTTTGGATCTGATGCGACCTGCTGGTGGTGAGGATGGCCTGCGATTCCGGCATTCCATCACCCAGTTTGCCGCATACTGACACCAGGAGGAATGAAAAGGCCTCTCGGTGTTTTGTCTTTCTCGTTTCGAAAATTTGCTTTCCGTAACTTAACAGAACAACACTGAGTATTAACGGCAGTCAGCTACTTCTGTCAAAGGTTTAAGTCTGATATATATTTATTTACTGCACCTTGTTCTTAGTTTCATGCCGAGCATGTTGCTTTTACGTGATAAACGTATTTTTCTAATTTCCTAAACTTTCCAAATTTAATTAGGAAATTTGAGTCCTCTTTCATGCTAATCAGTAACTCATTCTGTTATTTTCAATTAAATGTGCTTTGCTTTATAGCTTTTACTTCATTTTATAATTAACAAAATATCACCATTATATTCTTATATATTCTTTGCACAGAAGGAGCATTTCTCGTTGTCTTTAAGAGTGTATTTTATTTACTTCTTTACATTAAAACTTTCTCCACCCCAACTTTCCCTCCTATAGCAAGATTTCTGCTTTAGACTAGTACCAAGCTTGAATGTGTAATTTTCTTCGATGTCACATGATTACAGTTGTTGAAATGCGAAAGAGACTGCTGGCTTTCTGAAGCCGTATAGGAGAACTTGAGCCTGTTCAGAATATTAAATTCACAATGATTAAGTGACGTCCTAATTTTAGTGGTAATACCTCATGTGTTTTAAATTTCTTATCACTATTAGTCATTTAATATTGTGTTATCAAATAAAAAAATGTTACCGAATTTGATTTAGAGATACACATTGCAAATATATAATAATTTTAAAACTTTCTGGAGTTGAAAATAGTTTTCACTTCTGTATATCCTCAATTTTACTTTTAGTTTACTGGAGTTTTTGAAGCATGTTTTCTTGTTCTTTAACACACTAGTTTGAAGTAGGTATTTCTCCAAGTTTTTTTTGTGTGGTTTTTTTTTCCAGTGATTTTTTAAACAACCTACATTCAATAGAAGTTCTCCTGTGAGTAAATAGATCAAACTTGGATTTAATGAATGCTGGAAAGAAAATTATTTTTGTTTACTTAAATAGTAGGGTTTTTGCATTGATTCTTGCTATAACCAGTCATGTAAACATCACTCAGAATTCTGGTGTTGAAAGCCATTACATTAATGAAATGGGAAAGGAAAAGTTTATTATAACTTAGCTATATCTTGGGCATAAATTAGCCAGATGTAAACCTGCTACTTTTCTCTGACATTTTGACACACATTTGATTGTGTCATCCTTGACTGTTTTGTTTGCTTTGTATTGTTTCAGGTGATTACCTGTAAACTTCAAATTTAGTAACCAAAACCAGAATTTGTTCTGAACACTTGGTGGTGTTGATGATGGAAGAAACCACATCCTGCTTATCTCTTAGGCTTTGTGTAAACTACTGCTGATGTTGAGGAAAATGCAGAAAACATTCAGTAAACAGATTTATTTCTACTGTTCCTCTTAAAAAAAAAAGAAAACAGATAATGAATGGGATAAAAGGGTATCTCTAGTTGTTTAAGTTAAGGATCCATCCACACAAAATCCTGTGTTAACTATAGAGCTTTCTTAGAGCATTATGGTAAAACAGTTTTACTTTTTAAATTGGCACTTTGCCCTAAGTTTTGATACGTTGACCTCTTGTCCCGTTATGAATACCTGATGCTCCTTTTCACTCCTCCTGATTTGCCCATTCTTAGTATTTCCGTAGCAATTGAAAGGACGGAGCAAGTAGCTTTTCCCTGCAGGTGGTTGCTCCATTCTCTGAATTCTTGATCTCTTTTGAGGATTGCTTATGGATTAATGATAATACTTAAATATTTAGTGTTTGTTTTGATGAAACGCTGAGGACTCTAATCTCAGTTCAGCAGAACACTTAACCCTGTGACCAGTTACATTGAAGTACGATGCTTATGAGATTTTTACGTGATGGGATTATGTGAGACCTTAGAAGAGTAAGCCTTATGATGCTTACCATATTTAGATTTCAGCACATTCTGAATTTCTTTACTAGCACAGTACTTCAACAATACTTTTTGCAGAAACAAGATGAGACAGTCTGAGCTGTCTTTCTGTTAGCCTACGCTTGTTTTTCTGGTACAGTGCAAGACTCTCTTAATCTGGGGCTAT